ATATATATATATATTAGTAAATTTAATGAGATAAAATGACGAATTCACTTCGCTAACAGATCCTACGTGCAAATTTTCAGGAAAACAACCAAGACATTGCTCTAATTATTGAACTATTTAGTTCATGCCACGTTGACTGATAAACGCCTACAAAAAAAAAAATTCTTAAATTGCCATTTTAATAAAAATCGCTCTCACTTAAATTTTCAACCTTAGCGTTGCGATTGCACTCTCTACAAAAGTTTGTATCCGTTAACAATAACACACATAAAAAAAAAAAATGAAAAACATATTTTGATTTGCAATATATTTTTCGTCCCGGATGCTACCTGAATTTTAACAAAAACAAAATAGTTTCCATACCTGATGAAGACCGGAGAACCTGTCGAAAGTACTTGCATATTTAAGGAAGACCTAATAATACAGTTTATAATTTTAAAAATCAAGGATCATAACATTCATCGAGTGGTTAGTGGGTTAATACAATTCCTCTTTTATAGAAGTTTCGTCAAAGACCACCTAAAGCTTTTTATTTAGTTTTTCTTGTGTTCGTATAAGTGTTTCCTTTTCTGGATGTAAAGTGTGTAAAAACTGCCCCCCCCAAAGCTCTGTATATCCGAGCACATTCAGTTATTCTTTTAGTCATTATCAAGGACTGAATAATAAAATAAGAAAACACTTATACGAACACAAGAAAAACTAAATAAAATGCTTAATCGCATTACCTTTTCAGGTATATATGATAAAATTCAAATTTTAAGTTATGATACATTTCCGGCTAGACATTCTCAATCTCAAGGATAGAATGTGTGTAAATATAAGAGTCGGCATTTAGGTCATCATCGATTGTTTCATGCTTGAAATCGATGGCTTGAACATTGCGTTCAAGCATTAGACTGACTATCGCCATTCGATATTTTAACTCTGCGTTCCTCTTTTTACATGATATATATATATATATATATATATATATATATATATATATTAGTCATCCGCAGCTTCTCATTATCCTCAGTGAGGCTAGATTGATTTGACATCAGTCAGATATCTTTAGGCCATCGTCACACGGCATATATATATATATATATATATATATATATATATATATATATATATAGAACGAATATATAATGTATATGTGTGTGTATGTATGTATGTATGTATGTATGTATTAAAATGTATTTTTACATCAATTCAATAGATTCTTATTACTATAAACGTTATTTTAGTGCATGCTTGTATTTGAGTAGGCGTTCCGTTTATTTATTAAACAGTATTAAAACTGCCGGAGAGTGCAAGGTTTCTTTAATAAGATTTCTCGAACATACAAGTCGGTAGACAAAATTAGATAAATATAGTTTAATCAAATAAGAGTATACACTAAAAATAACGTTTGAAGTGATATATATATATATATATATATATATATATATATATATATATATATAATTGCATATTTCAGCAGCAATCCTTCTTTTATACAGGTTTCATTAAAGACGACTGACAAATTACAGCAATTAAGCTTTTCATTTAATTTTCTTTTATGAAATTTTTTGATGGGAGCTGTCAGTTTTACTGTTTTTTAAAAGACATTACAGGGTTGCCTAGGGTTGCCTAGTATAGCAAGAAGTCATATATATATATATATATATATATATATATATAATCAAACCTAGTGAGCCAGACAAACCTACCCATGGTTTCACATAAGAGAATCGTCAGGGAAAGCCAGCTTTCCCTAACGATCCGATTAGGTGAAACCATGGGTTACATTTGTCTGGCTCACTAGGTTTGACTAGGTCTGCTCTACGGTTGTATTGAGCTCTTTTTAGTTAGTTGTTTACTCGTGTCGGGGTTTTTTCTTTGGGCTTTGAACCTGTATCTGTGCGATTTTTTGACAGACTTTCATGTTCCTGGCTCTTCTCTTTCTTTTTTAAAACCTTTTTTTTTCCTTCGAGATTGATTTGATTATTGGCAAATCAAAAATTCGAAAGGTTTTTCGAGATAGTATAGTTACCTATATATATATATATATATATATATATATATATATATATATATATATATATATATATATGATTCCGCGTTTCGCTATCATTAGATAGGCTTCTACAGGTGAGAACGAAAAATATGTTTGTGTTTGTACATGCACTTCAATATTAAACTGTTAATACTTTTTTCCGCTATAATAGTGTCCCTCGGTTGGAATGAAGGAATAAAATTTTGTTCAAAAGACGTTATTTTAATTTATGTGTGTGTATGTGTGTGTGTGTGTGGTTAGCTCCGAGAGTAAAGCCTCCTGTTTTATTGTATTGGCCAACAAAGTCAGGTATATACAGGTATATATAAACAGTGATGTGTATGGGCATGTATATATATATATATATATATATATATATATATATTATAAAAAAACCTCTATGATGTGCATTGTGTATGTGTATGCTGTGTTATCCGGTATACAGTTATGTATTGATGGGCATGTATATGTATACATGTATATGAAAAAGAAAATGGCCTTCAACATATATTTGCCAGCACCATGTATATACATTTATGTAGATATATATATTTATATATATATATATATATATATATATATATATATATATATATATATATATATATATAAACACTAATATTCCATGGTCATAATTTATTTGATTGGAATCGAAAATACGATCCAATTCATCAGACCTACAAATTCAAAAAGAAAACAGAAAAAACAACTCCGGGAATAAAAAATAAAATTTAGTGAGAGTGTATGTATGAGAGTGTGGGATGAATGTTAGAATAAATGAAAGCTATAGAGAGGGGTAACAGACGAGAGAAGAACAGGCGAAGAATAGGAAGGTCTAAAGATGAAGGGGGATTAAAATTTAACAGAGTGAAGTTTTAAAGAGGGGAGTCAAAGATGGTTTAAGTGAGAGAAATATGAATATTCTCGGATGTCTAATACATTAAAGATTTACCGGAAAAGATACATTGTGTGGTTACATACACACACAATAGACGATATTGCATATGTATGTGCATATTTACCACTAATATTATCTATCTATCTATCTATCTATCTATCTATCTATCTATCTATCTATATATATATGTGTGTGTGTGTGTGTGTGTGTGTGTGTGTGTGTGTGTGTGTGTTTCTTATCCAAGTTTTTCTGAATGGGAAGTAAATGATTCATATATCTTCTGATTAAGTATTTGTATGACTTTGTGTTTTCCACATCGACCTGATGTATATTAATAGGATAGTGAATCCGGATAAAGTTTGATAAATTACACTAATTTGGAAACTGTTTTATTGACTTGATTACGCGTTCCGCCATCGTTAGATAGAGTTTCTCAGATTAGAACGATAGAAATATGCGTGCGTGTTTGGGTGTGTGCTTCAATATCGAAAAGAAAAGCGTATAGTAAACATTAAAATAACAGCTTTTGAACAAAAGTCACATAATTTTATTCTTTTATCTCAACCGAGGGACGCCCCACATAACTGGAAAAGTATTAACAATTTATTATTGAAACACAGCCAAATACTCACACATATTTATTTCGTTCTGATCTGAGGAGGTATATTTGACGATGGCAAAACGCATGATCAAATCACTAAAATAGTTTATATTTTGTCTAATTTATCAAACATTGACTGGATTTTATATCCTATATCCTATAAACACACACACACGCGCACACACGCATTCATACATATATTTAGTTGCGCTGATGTGAGTTTGTGAACCTGAGTTTCACGCCCTTTGCGATCGTCAGACAAATTAATTAATGTTGAAATTTTGGATTTATTTATGTTTGCGTATATCAGTGTTTTATGGTAGTGGGAGGAAAAATTGTCGACGGAACGCCACTCATATGTACGCAGACACACACACACGCACACGTTCACTCATTGACGTACACAGGCACACACACACGCACGTTCACTCATTGACGTACGCAGACACACACACACACACACACACACGCACTTTCACTCATTGACGTACGCAGACACACACACACACGCACGTTCATTCATTGACGTACGCAGACACACACACAGCCACATCCACGCATTGCAGCTCACATATACTTAAGGGACAATGCAATTAAGCGTTTTATTACATATTTCTTGCATTCCAACAAAGGATATCTTTTCTGGACATAGAATGTATAAGAACTGTCCCCAAAAATTTCCTTGTACGAATGCAAGAAAAAAATATTAATCGTAAACCCTTGTTTGTCGTCTTTAATTAAACCTGTATAAAAAAGGGATTGCTGTCTAAAATACATAATTATATCTACATATATATTAATTTATTGCTTAAACGTTATTTTTAATAAACGCCCATATTTCGGTAGATGGTCTGTTTTTATTTATTCATTAAACAGTTTATTTATTTTCATCTACCGGCCTGAATATTCGAGAAATTCTATTAGAAGAATATGCCCTCTCTCTTTCTATCTCTCTCTTTCTAATAAGATTTTTTTTTTACGTTAAAAAGTATTATCAAAGTTTTTATCTCAAAAGTTGAGCAGACTTCAAATAATTACGAGAAAGAGGAAGTAAATGGAACAAAACTTTTCAGCCAGTCAAGTGCCATACGTGATACACTGTCGGACGATCACGTGTCTTTCGATTCATGACTGAAAAGACAAAACATTTTCCCACAGTAGTTTTCCGTTTTCTTTCTGCGCTAGACACGTCGCCAAGCTAGGCTAGACAACCCTGTCTGTCCTGCATATTCAAGAGATGTATTCACGCCTTTCCCAAATGCATTTGTTCGTAAGTGAATGTAACAGACCCGACTGAAATTTGAACCCGGCTCTCCAATTTCTCATTCAGAATCCGTTACTCCATGCAGCACACAATAAAATTATTACTGATTTGATTAACAAAAATATGTCGTGATAAAATTTGATGAAGAATACAAGAGATAAAATAAATGTGAAATTATATTTTTGAAATATTTCATACTTGAAAAATGATGCCCTACCTTTAAATAACGGCACAATTCGCCATATCGTTATTGGTCCCTGTCGGTGGAACTGTCCCAGGACCAATTCCATAAAAAATAATGGAAGGGCTGATAGGGTCAGCACTGCGAAATAAGGAATGAGAAATGCACCTGCAAATAAAACACAATATTATGTCAATAAAAAATGTATTAAAGATTTTTCAGTAGTTAATAAAATAAGCTTTAATAGTTATAATAGATGACCTTTACTTATCTTTGGTGGCGGAAGTTATTCTACCATCATCGTAAAAAATATAAAACAACTCAAGGTTTTTCGTAAACAATAAGGGGGTGAATTAACATTTACAACGTGATATTTTATTCGGTCTGGTCTTTTTTTTTTTTAAATCTCTTTTGTTTTTATTCTAACGTTTTACTCAGTCGTCGACTTCCCAGTAATTCTTTACTGAATTCAGTAACTGGTGATTACTAGTTAGAATTTTACGCCATGCCGGTCAAGAAAGGAAACTATGAACATGACTCCAATCAGTTTATATTTAAGACTTCAACAAGCAGTAATACATTCATTTCCCTTGTAAAATGTCAATAAAACACAAATCGACAATAATATTGCATCACTTCTCCTGTATGACAGTGAATGCTGGACAATTTCCTCATAGATGAAGACGAAACTAGGGAAAACGGAGATGTGTTTCGACAGAACGATGCTGATAGAGCATGTAAGCAAAGAGGGCGTTTTAAGAAAAATAGAAACGAAAAAGACACTTATACTTTTACAGTTCAAATGTCTACGACATATGATGAGGAAAGAAGGCTTGTAAAATTTGACACTCACAGGTTACATTGAAGACTGAAGAAAAGAGCGAGTAACCTACCTAATGAGGTTGTGCGAATGGATGGCAGAGCAGGGACTGGTAGAGCTAGTAAAAAGACAAACATTGCTAAGAACTACAAAAGATAGGAAGTTGTGGAGAGCCATGATCACCTACGCGCTGAAGGAACCCAGCACATAGAAGAAGAAGAAAAAGAAGAATACAACTTGCTGGTTTATTCTCATTGGAGTTTCTTGTATGTGTAGAAGGGACAGGAAATTGTGGAGAGCCACGATCGCCTACGTCGTGAAGGTACACAACAAATTGGCGAGAAGAAGCGTAACAGTTATTGATGCAGAAATTGGAATCGGCGTTCCGAGTTCAAATTCTGTCCAAGTGTATTGCGTTCAATTGACACTAATGTCATTGGAAAGACATGAATCCACGGGTTCTTCTCTTCCAGCCATGGGTCAAATACCAAAGCAAACAGAAAGGTCTAGCCCAGTGTACAAGAAGGACAAATCTTTATTCATACCAAGTGTACTGTGCCGTGTATTGTGCGAAGAGCATTCTTTGAACCTAAACCTATTTTGGCTATTCGTTGAAGCTATCATGGACACCCACTCTGCCATTAGATCCCGAAAAGGATGTTAAGTAGTTGGGTCTGATTTCCTGTAACTTGTTACTCAAAAAATATATTCACACATATACCATCCCTTGAAAGGAACCAACATCAAGCAATGTATTGTGTATCTCTAGGTAGCAATATTTCATTTATGCCGGTGTTTACAAAAGTTTTTTCGAACATAATTGCGCAACTAGGATGTAAAATAAATAAACAAAAAAAAAATCAAGAAAAGACGCAATACATGAAGAAATAACTCTACTTGATAGCCACCAACTCGTGAAGGTGCGACACTGGAAAACCACTAGAGAAACACAATGCATCCACAGAAATACAACCGTGTCGATAGAGAAATATAAAATGCTTTGATAATAGCTTATGAAAACCGAAAGCCCTCAGAAGACGTTGGAAAAAACGTTTAAATTTTCCTCTGAAACACGACTGCTGATCCAAAACGCAGAAAAATTAAATAATAATAATAAAATTAAAAAAAAAAAGAAAAAAAAAGTTAAACAATGAACTTCCGTTGGTCTTCAGCCAAAGCTGAAACTCGCCATGAAAGATAGAAAAAAAAAGGAAAGGAAAAAGGAATAATGGGGCAGCATAAGAAGAAATGAAGAAATGACCACGACATCCTACCGATGGACACCTGCACACACACGCACACACGCACACACGCACACACACACACACACGCATATATCTATGTATGGATGTGTATTTGTGCTAGCTTGCGTGCGCACGCGCGTGTATGTTGAGGAAGGTTGAGAAATAAAAGGAATTAACTTTTTTAAAAGTGCTGTTCAGTTATGATTTTCCTTAGAATTCATGATGATAGTAAACGAATAACTCTCATTCTTGGATTACCCCTACTTAGGGCGGATAATAGCAAGAAAGAAGGACAGTGGAAATGAAATAAAACGATGTGTAACGATAAGTTGGAAAGACTTTAATAAAAACAGACAGACACTGAAAAGTTCCTTGCCGATAAATCACCGAAGTTGTATACTAAATGTATAATGCCAGGAATGACGTGTGAGTGCGAAACATGGAAACTAAGAAAATCGGTTAAAACATAGAAATGCACAAATATCAATAGAAAGAACGGTAACCCTTGACATAACGTTAGGAGATAGGATAATATCAACATGGATCAAGAAACAGACCAAGATACAGGACAGAATCCCTATCTTTCAGCCAGGATCATAATGACATTGTGAACTTCTCGATCCTTTTGTTGGCTGTATAGTAGGTGCTTCGTTAGGGCTACACACGATTTATAATTCTCCCAGACTGGTTGCCAATCACGGCTAAAGAGCCGAGTCTATTTAATGTTATTTAACTTACAACGGTCTGTTGAAGAGATGGATTCATACCTACCCCAAGGGTATTTTGCGTAAGTGAAACAAATTCGACGGAATTTGCACTCTGTTTCGCGGTTTCCCTTCATGGATTATGATATTGTCTAAGTGGTTTTTACAGTCTTCCATAGAACTGAATGAAAGAAAGTACTTCCGACTGGACAATTCCGGACACATCGATTGCTCTAGTTGGGAACAGCACTTGTCTGAATTTAAGACCTGATTATGTGGAAGTGTCTTGAAATGCACAATGCCATTTCGATCCCACACAGCATCAGGTTCTTCGGATGCAGACTGGCTTTTGGTAGGTTTATTTTGCTTTCCCATGAACTCTTTAGCTCCATATTGTTGCAAGCAATCCTTTTTTTATCGCTTGTGATTGCTCTGTTAAAAAAAAAATGTGTTTTTTTGTGTTCGAGCAGAGCATCGCAGATGAAAATGCTGTTCATCAATTTTCGGTTAAAGGGTGTGACACTCGAACATTGGAGTAATTCCTGTATCCAAATATTTTCAAGTGTCTTTCATCACTCATAAGCTATATATGTGGAGTATTTCTGCGATGCCCCGTGTGATGTGGTCTGGGTTATTTTTAGTAGGCATTTCAATCTGCTCCTCATCAACAAGTGCAGGTCTGCTGAAATGTTTTCTGTCTTTTTTATCAAAGTTTCCACTTCTGAACATAGCAACCCAGAATAATTATTTCAGCTATGAGACCATCCCCATAAACGGTACTCATCTTATTTTTATTTATACAGCGTTTTTTTTTCTTTGATGGAAATAAAAGAGCATCAAATGACGAAAATTTACCACATTTTCCTTCATTTTCATTTTCCTCAATCCACATACGAATCGTATGGAAGGACGCGTTGAAATGTCCCCTTTTAGAATATGTCATAAATTTCAGTCACCCGTGAAATGAAATCACGTGTTCAAATGGCACTTACTGTAAATGCTAAGAAGTTTTGTTCAAATTAAAGTAGAAAATTCCACAGTTGAAAATCGACATTTAAAATCTGAAATTTATTTCTATTATTTATTTCTATTTTTTTTTTCATGATTAATATATAAATGGACATCAAAACAGCATTTGTTTTAAAAAATGCAATACGATTTGACATAATCTTTCCACTTCATATCAGTGGTAAACATTAGACCAAGAAAGTGCAATGGAGGTTAGCATCAACCTATAAATAATCAATTCTAAACTTTATTAATCAGTATTTAAATATGAATATGGCTCTTTGACTTGACACAGCTACAATACCTCATTTGAGATGAGGTATTATAGCTGTGTCAAGTCACTGGATTACTTCAACCAACGCTTTTATCCACTACGCCATGTATCATTGGGGACATTAGTGTATGAATTTTGGGGACTTATAAACCCAATGTTTCAGTAAACCAAAGAGTTGTATTCAATACCTAGCCATAGCAGAGGTGAACAAAATCTTGGAAAGTTGAATTAATAAAGGGAATTAACTGAATTAACAGAAAAGGCATGGCACGTGGACTAAATAAAGGGTTCGGTTCGAAATTCAAATGTATATTACTGTTGTAACCTAGAAAGGGTTACTGAATGAGGAATATCCAAAACGGAAGTTGGAAATGAAATGGTAATCTTTATAGCATCAACAAAATACAATACTCGCCAGCGGCGTGAACTAGGTAAACCACTGCTAATAATGGACTACTTAGACAGCATATTACTCGCACTTACAGTAGTGTCCAACGTATTTATGAAGATTGGGGCATGCCCATTAGTGTTCATGGGTATGGTATAAAACAATTACCTGAAGAATACCGAAGCGTACAACGGCCAAAACGTTGAATATGACGGGGACAAGAGTCCAAACAATGTAAATAGTTTAAATAAATATATAAGCCTCGCCTTATGCGAATAGTGTAAATAAACATATAAGCCTTCTCCTTATCAAAGGAACACGAAGGGAATGGGTTTGATTTACCTCCGTGAACATGGCATGGCGGAGCATGGGATGTCTGTGCAGATGGAACTAAGGAATATAACTCATCCGAACATCTGCCATAGCAATAGCGATGGAGTAGTGAAAGGCTAGTAACGTTTTATCTGTGGGACAAGGGTCGCGGGATGGGAAACACTTCACCCCCCCCACACACACACACAAATCGAGATAAGCGCTTCTGAACTCTGTCGAGGCTGGAAAGCGAGAATTGAGCAGCACCAGCCTAGACATGGCAGCAATACTTTATTCTTGGTCTCATCTGACTCTTGTAAATATGGAACATGACAGCAGTAGTTAGGTATTTTCTGAAACGATACAAGGAACCAGCCATTTCCCCAGCATCTTTAGTGATGGATCATATATATGTTCCATTTGAGGCCGGAAGTGATCTTTAAACCTAGTAAACGTTCGAAGCTTCTTTTCTCGACTGCCTCTTTGATTAGTATGATCACTCATTATTAACAACGACCTTTATACCTAACGGGAAAAAACATTTTCAACTGATAGAGATTTCGTAGCTGGATAATTTATTCAGCAATTATACCATCCATTGTCAAAAGACTTCGAGATATCTAGAGATGAAACGTCGCGTTAAATGCAACAGAGATAAGGATATTAGTCCGAATAAACCATTTTCCTTTTCCATTGTTTATATTAGTATCGAATAGCGAGAGTTACACTGTAAGATTTGGTCATGTATTAAAATTTGATTGTTTATAATTTAGAATTATAACTTCTTTGAAACCAGGTATTTTATCAAAGTAGCTTTTTTGTCATTGTTCTAAACGACATGTCATATGCAGGAGTTTGTTTGCATACCACATCCTTTCCCGATGTGGGAATGGTCTCTGATTGCAATACGCTTTGAACAATGCATAATTTCTACAAGCATCGCTATTGGGTGAGGTTCGGTTTATCGTCAGAACTAATTGAGTGACTGCACCATCTGCTGTTTTGTACTGATCAAAGTCAGCTCTTTGATGGATGAGCGTTTTACAAACTGCCATCTTGAAGTCGATCAAATTATCAATCGTAATAAAAGACTGAGTGATAAACTGAGATCTATCCATAGATATTATTGGATGGTGCCAACTTTCGTATGATGCTATATTAACTTCACATTAAAGAAACGTTAATTATTAATTGATTCTGAAACTACTTTATAGCAATTACTTTCTATCTATCTATCTATCTATCTATCTATCTATCTATCTATCATGACCACTGTCTGTTTTAAAATTCTCAAACATATCACCTGAAAGATTTTGGCGTAAGTTTGCGTGAGATAAAATGCATGCACAACTTTTCACGTGAGTGTGCGTGTACGTATAAGTGTAAAGTTACTTGAGAAGTCGTATCTATCTATCTATCTATCTATCTATCTATCTATCTATCTGTTGTAACCTAGGAAAGGTTACTAGATAGAATAATCACACAAAGGTTGGTAATGAACGATAATACTTAGGACAACAACAACACATATAAGATTCGCCAGAGGCGCGTAAATGGAGTCAACTGCTAGAAGTGAGTCAAGTGAATTCCACAAAGAATCTCCAACTGCAGGATATCTGCCAACCTCCCCACGCGGTCAGATGTGACACAAGGCCGAATTTAATGTAGAGTATCCGAGCCCGTAGGCTCGGCCATAATTTCCCTGTAGACCCCGTATAAAACGGGGTCGGGGAGCGGTTTCTCGAGACGAGACTCTGCCCTTCGACAGAGCCTCGTCTGGGGATCCTCTCTGCTCGGAGGCAGAGAGTTTGCCCAGCACAACTGGAGACGAATCTCCAACTGCAGGATATCTACCAACCGCCCCACGCGGTCAGATGTTGCACAAGGCCGAATTTAATGTGTGGTATCTGAGCCCGTAGGCTCGGCCAAAACTTCCCCGTAGGTTCCGTATAAAATGGGGTCAGGTAGCTGTTTCCCGAGATGAGACTCTGCCCATCGACATAGTCTCATCTGGGGATCCTCTCTGCCCGAAAGCAGAGTTTGACCAGCACATCTAGAGACGAATCTCCAACTGCAGACCCACATACAGTATATTCTACTGTAGGTAAGCTACAACTCTATCTATCTATCTATCTATCTATCTATCTATCTAATTCTGTCCATATGTATGCATATTTGTACATATTTATATGTGTATACGTATATATATATCTATCCTATTCTGTCCATATCTATCTATCTATCTATCTATCTATCTATCCTATTAGAAGTATAAAAGTGCTGTACTGGTATGTATCAGTCCTCCTATATGAGAGTGAATTTTGGGCAACCTCTTTGCAGATGAAGAATGGAGGAAACAGTGAAGCAAGAGGAAAGGTAAAAAAAGATGGTTCTACAGAAGGAAGCTCAGAATGTCATGAACGGAACATGTGAACAACGAGGAAGTTTTAAAGAAAATGGAAACAAAGAAACAATTGCACTTAGAATCAGAGACAATTGAAATTTCTGTTAGACATAATGAGGAAAGTGATCTTGGAGAATTTAACACGCAGTAAGAATTGAATTCAAGCGAGGTAGAAGGAAACATCGAGTAGCCTACTTAACGAGTTTGTGTAAATGGATTGCAGAACAGGAACTGGGGTGGGGGTATAGTGAGGGTCAAACTTTGCTTAGAGTTATGAAGGATAACAAGTTGTGTAGATCCATGAACTCCTACGTTCTGAAGAGACATGGCACATAAAAGAAGAATACATACGCACACACACACACACATCTATCTATCTATCTATCTATCTATCTATCTATCTATCTGTCTATGGGAAAATATGATAATTTTTTTATATATCAGTATAATTTTAGGCAAATGAATGACTAAGTGGAAAAATTTAATGTAATTCGTCTTGTCCTCTAGAAAGACCTCATCAGACTAAAGTAATGCTCTGTTGATGGAATTATATATGTGTAACAGTGAAATGGACAAATATACAGAAACGTAAGTGTCGGTTATATTTATGTACTGAGAAGAAACGATGAACATATGACAACGCTGAAATTTTAAATTTTTAAATTAATTTTTTTTTTCCCCAGAGCTGTCTGGACAAGTATCTGTTTCATTCAGTTTCCCTGTGGTTTTGTTGCTTTTATCACGTTTGCTATTCCAAATTTTGATAACAGAATATATATCAAGAAAGGTGAAATGTTGTAAGAACCGGGGCACAAATTTACCGGGATTGATCTAGCAATCAAAGCACTTTCTATACTTTTTCGCCTTAGTAAATTGTTTTCTCTTTTGATTAAAGTAGCGTTTTTTAAATCGAAATTATGGTCACACTCATTGCAGCAAGCGACTAATGCACTGAGGTTTTAGTTTTGTGAAAGATAACTTTTGTATTCATATAATTTAAATTAATTTAAATTCCTTGAAGTTTCTCCTATATATTCTTTGTGACAATCGTTATAGTTTATAGATTAAATTTAGGCTATCTATCTATCTATCTATCTATCTATCTATCTATCTATCTATCTATCTATCTCAGTTTATTCCTTAGTTATATATGATCATAAAAAGCAAATGTTCAAACGCGTATTTGCCAAGATATAATTGTTCCAGAACATAGACTTGGCTATTGCAAATATTACAGCCTTTTTCAATTAACTTAGATGTATCATCCTTACCCGAAAAAAAATTGTGCATGATACCAACTCCAAAAAAACAAAAAACAAAAAAACAACTTATTTCTAGTAAATAAGTCCTTTTAAATATTCAACAAGTTTATCAAGTCAATCAAACCATTGCCTCTTAAAATTTTCAAACATATCATCTTCAAGATTTTAACGTGAGAAAATGTCTCTGTGCTTTTCTTTATATACGTATACACGCAAATGAGTGAATGTATGTGCACGTTTTTGCGTGAGTGTACGTACGAGTGTCATGCTATTTGAGAAGATATATCAGTTGTTAGATATTTCTATCAGCGTTTCGTTGTGTGTCTGTGTATCAGATATGCCTAGTCAAAATACCATGATTTATTTGCCAGTCTTTTTCCTTTCACTCAAGTCCCACGGTTATGATTAGAATAGTCCGAAGTAAAGCCGAAAAACTTTGTTAGATAGATTCACGAATTACCCGGTTTTGTGGGCTGCTGTGCCAATCACCCACGGCGATTTTCGTTATGTCACATAATGAATTAAGCTAAGATGGTGATTGCAATCAATATGACGGAACATAAAGTCATGACCTGAATCCATTAAGACGCTAGAGAATCGGGAGTAGATTAAATGCAGTTAGATTTGTGATATAATGGAATTTCAGACAGGAAAAGAAAAAAAAAAGACTCAAAGGGGAGATAATCTAGAAATAGGATTGAAAGGAAGGGAGATAATACTAAATAAAGAAAAAACGGCTAGGAAAGAAAAAAATGATAAAGAAGAAAGAGAAAAAGAAGTCTAAAGCAGAAGGAAATGTGAAGAGATTGAAGAATAGAAAAAGGAGATTAAAATAAAAGAAGTATAGAGGCTATGTGAGAAAGAATAAAGGAAAATGAAGTCTGACAAAAATGCATGTGATAAATTTATAAAAAAATGGTTGAAAAAATAGCTGAGGGAAAAAGAGGAAGAAAAATGATGAAAAGAAGGACGGACGAAGGAAAGATATTTTAAAATAAAGGATATGCAGGCAGAGCACTAAAAAGGAAAGTAGAAAGAAACAGAGAAATAAAGAAAAATACTGAAAAAGAAAAGTGAAGTAAGATATGAGAAATATATGCTTATATAAAAAAGAAAGAAAAAAGAAAGAAAGAAAAAAGAAAGAGAATAAAATTATGAAAGAACAATACCAATGCAAAAGAAAGAGAAGTGAATAAAAGAAATGTTCTAAATTGATATTGAAAGAATATGTGGATGAACTGTGTGTGGGGGGATGTTGAACAAACACAAATGTACTGGAGTTGGTGTGTCTTCAACAGGGAATGGCTAGCCACTCTAGCAGACGAGTGTTCACGGAAAACAAGTGTAGCCAGCTATATATATATATATATATATATGTGTGTGTGTGTGTGTGTGTGTGTAACAATGCAGGCCTTGTTAGCAACAGAACGAGTCATATTGGTATACCTTTCACAAATTACTATCAATACTACGCTGGAAATAATTTAGCAGGCGGAGTGTGTTAGAAAACGTTCCAGTCTCGTCCATCACTAGAAAACCCCACGGGCAAGCTGAACAAACTTTACAAAATAGACCAGGTCCTGTACAAAACTCATCTGCAATAAGCGTTGCAAGTTACTTGCAAGAGCCATTGTCCTTCTCACGAAAACCAAAAACATTCCTAATTTTGTCAGCGATGGTCATATTCACTTAACGAGTCGACAGCCATCATATGTATGTTTGTCACCTGTCACATGAAAACTCACGAACAACCTGAACAGAACTTACAAAATAGGCCAGGTCTTGTACAGCTTCAAACCAAGAATCAAACTTGTCACGGATGGTCATACTCGTTCAACAGGTTGACCACCACCATGTATATCTGTGTGTATGCATGTATGTGTATATTTAAGAAAAAGGTACGAAAGAAAGAAAGATGAATGATAATATGATGATAATATAAAAGAATGAATGAGGTTGAATCTTAAAAGGATGACGGAAATGCAGAAAGGCCGACTATGGCGCTGAAAGAACTGGTGGAGACAAAGAATATGCAAGTGATGAAAAGAATGACGGGAAGGCATAATGGCGCGTCGTTGTTAGGGGAAAAGCAAAAGAGTAGAAAATTTAACTCGGGTTTTGAACTGCACGCTGATTGGTAAATGAATAAAACGTCTGGGCTAATGAAAAATAAAATAAAAATAAAATGGTGGAAAGCAAAGGAAACAAAACCAAATAGCAAGAAAGTCAGAAACGAAAAAGATGACGTCAGAACTGCGACAAAAATGAAATGTTGAAGATCATCTCAATAATGAAGTTGGAAATTATTGAAAAGATGACGATGATTAATTATTATGAAAAGGCAAAAAGAAAATAAATATAAGGAAAGCAAATGGCAAGAAAGAGGAAGAAGGAGAAATAACGTTGCAGACGATAAAAATATCATAAGAATCAAATTGAATAGAAAAAAGAAATGAAAGCTAGGAATAATGAAAAATATTTTATTTATTTATTTTAAATTCAAATTTCGGTAGTAAAACAGTCTATCTTCACTTTAAAATGAAGTGCTGGCGCTTTAACATCGTCCTAAATGTGCTTTTAAAATCAATGATGTGTCCAAAAATAAAATTATATCCCGAAGATACGTTATGAAAAAATATCTATTTTTATTCTTCATAACTTTGTTTTTTATTTTTTTAATCTTTTTTCTTTATATTTTTTATTTTTCATTCCTAAATAATTTTATTTAAATTTTGAATTAATTTTAGTTGAGACGTGAATATATTTTTATTTTTTTCATTTTAAAACCATTTTAATTTATTTCTAATTTATCCTAATTTTTTTAAACTAATTTTTGTTTATTGTTATTTTTCATTTATTGAGTGATATAAAATTTTTAAAAAATCGTATGATTCCTCATCAAAGGTCAACTCAACTGGTCGGGACATTGTTCAAATTCAGGACAAATAGAAATTATGCTTGTGTTTCATAAATTGCATAAGCATTTGATACGACACAAAAACTTTGAAATGTTAGGAAAACATGATTTCCACGATAACGATACTCGAATAATTCGAAATGCAAATCAGAAATTGGAGATATCAAAATCAAGCAAGTAGAATATCTAGGAAGTGTTTTAACTGAGGACGGAAAGTGCGACATTGAAATCCGAAGGCGCATTGGGATAGCGAAAGAGGCGTTCCTAAAGCTAAGCAAAGTATTAAGAAACAAACAAATTTCATTGGAAACAAAGAAATAAGTACTGAACTGTTACGTGATATCTGTTCTCTTATATGGTAGTGAATGCTGTACAATCTCCTCGAAGATGAAGAAGAGACTTCAAGCAACAGAAATGTGATTCTACAGGAATGATAAAGGGATGTGAGTTACTTAAAGCTGCAAGGAACAGGAAGTTATGGAGAGTCATGATCAGCCAGGTCCTCAAAGGAGAGAAAAAGAAGCAACGAACGGCGTTCTCAAGGAATCCAATACAGAGATGTTTTGAAATCTAAGCTCGAAGATTTCAACATTGTCAATAACACATGGGAAAAACTAGCAGTTAATCTTTCCAGGTGAGTAAAGATTTGTCACACCGGAATAAAGGGCTTTGAACGCCGGCGAATCGATCGGCTTCAGAAGCCTCGAAGTGCCCGTTACTCCAACACTCAAGATCAATCTCAGGCAGGTGAGGATTTCATCTACCCAGAAGTTGCTTGTGGATAGGATTCAGCCACACCCTTCGTCATTAAATAATGAGAGAGAGAGAGAGAGAGAGACAGACAGAGAGACAGACATCGGACGATGGTGGGGGAGATCAATCAGAATCCGACAGCTTAGTTCGTAACTTTTTAAAATACAAAACATAGCAAAAGAAAGAAAGAAAGAAAAAAAACAAAAAAACAAAAAAAAAACAAAAAAAAAACAGCAGGTTTAGGAATGAGAGCAAAACGCCGTGTAGTGAATAAAGAGTTTTGTTTAATATCTCTTGAAATTTACTGAATGTTGCAATGTGCATATGACAAAATGTGATAAAAATAAATAAGTAAATGCTCCGTATAATATTGTTGCAGTGTTGTCTATTAAGGCGTGCGAATCAACAGAGCGGATATTTTCGGCAAAATAATTAAAACTTAAACTGGTTTATCTTTTAAAAACGGAAATATAAGTAAAAATTAGGTACCTTCACTTTTTCGCTAAGATTTTCGATACGCAAGGTTTAAAATAATTTGAAAAAAAATGACAACACATTCTTGAAGATTTACTTTTAGCTTTTAATTTAAATAATAAATAAATAAATTAAATTGACTATTTCCAGTACTCTGGTGTATTTCACATAAAAATTATATAGATTCGAATGTCAAATATTTGCTCGATTTCAAAAAATCTGTTTACTAGCGGTCATTCTTACATTTTAACAAGTTTTAAAATAAAATTTAATTATCGGTTTAAAAATCTTCCAAAAATAAAATATATATTTATGACACGTTATTTGACTAAAATTAGCAAATTAAAATTAAATTAATCTGTTTTGTAACAAATATTATTTATAGCATAAAAGATAGTATCCAAGAATTTCTTAACGACGTGTCCTGTTTTTCTTGTTTTATTGACGTAATCGATCAGCTCAGCGGGGTTGACAGCTAGTACGGATGACCAGAATTGACGTAAGTTTACAAAATCAGTTTATGCAATGATTAACGAATTGCAGAAAATCAAATTTTTCTGAAAATGGAGGACAACTCCTACAACATGTTAACTTTCATAATAATGACACGTTTAGGCTACCATAGTTGAAAAATGGGAATGAGTAAAGTAAAAAAATTAAAAAATTATTTTAAAAATATAATAGCAAAACGACGTATATTAAACTTTTCAATTTTTGATTCGTTTCTACTTAATTACAATATCACCTTAACGAAAGAAAAAAATGCAGAATTTTAAACGATTTTTAAATTATTATAATTTATTATAATTAAAAAAAAATTTTAAATGAAAAAAATTCTTGTTCAAATTCATTATTCATCGAATTTTTTTTTCTTAAGGCAAAAAATCTGTTTACTAGCGGTCATTTCTTACATTTTAACAAGTTTTAAATTAAAATTTAATTATCGGTTTTAAAAATCTTCCAAAAATATATATATTTGTGACACGTTATTTGACTAAAATTAGAAAATTAAAATTAAATTAATCTGTTTTGTTACAAATATTACTTATAGCATAAAAGATAGTATTCAAGAATTTATTAACGACGTGTCCTATTTTAAACGATTTTTAAATTATTATAATTTATTTAATTAAAATTTTTAAAAATGAAAAAAATTCTTGTAAAAATTCATTATTCATCGAATTTCTTATTCTTAAGGCAAAAAATCTGTTTACTAGCGGTCATTTCTTACATTTTAACAATTTTTAAAATAAAATTTAATTATCGGTTTAAAAATCTTCCAAAAATATATATATTTGTGACACGTTATTTGACTAAAATTAGAAAATTAAAATTAAATTAATCTGTTTTGTAACAAATATTACTTATAGCATAAAAGATAGTATCCAAGAATTTCTTAACAACGTGTCCTGTTTTAAACGATTTTTAAATTATTATAATTTATTTAATTAAAATTTTTAAAAATGAAAAAAGTTCTTGTAAAAATTCATTATTCATCGAAATTTTTTTCTTAAGGCAATAGTGTCCTTAATTTAACTTATTTACAAAAGCAATTAAAAGCTTTTCTAATTAAATAATGTCATAGTTTGACTACATTTTTTAGTTTACCATTCAGAACAGATTTTCAGTACAAATAGTAAAGGTTTGAAAAAAAAATGAATTACTTACATTCTCCAAGGAGTCTTACTTTTAATTAATAAAAAACTTCTGGAAAGAAAATTTAATTTCGCGAAATTTCATAAAGTTAAGTGCGGTGGTGTGTAACATATATAAAAAAAAATTTTTACCAAGATTTTCTAAAGCAAAACTTCAAAAATAATTTCATTCATTTGTGAATAAGTCCTGAAAGTTTCATTAAAATCCGACAATTATTTGATTTTTGCAAGAATTTCTAAATCAATGTCTTTCACCTAAAAAAAGCGCAAAAAAAAAAACTAATTGTAAAAATTATGTTCCGCGCTGACGTAAAAAAAAAACAAGAATTTCGAATCTGTTAGAAAGGTTTTAAAATTTTTTTGAATAATTAAAAAAATACTTTGGTCTTTCTTCTTAATAATAACATAAACTTTTGAGAATAAAACTTTGTTTTTATTAAGTTTTTGGCCTTTTTTTCATCATGCCATGCTGTTTTTCAGCTAGCAAGTGGAGGGACCTTGTAAAAATTTTAAAAAATACATTCAAAAGAAAGTAAATTAAGGACAAAAATGTTTTTGTTTAATTGAAGCAAACCCAAACATTTGATTTGTGATTTTTTTCGGCTTTCTCCACATTTTAACTCGCCGTAGCTTCATTAATTTCGTTTCCAAATTTTCCGGAGATATTCGTTTTAAGAAGAGCAAAATAGTTTTTTTTTCTTAGTTAATGTTTACTATTTTCCTCATCTTTCTTTCTTTCTTTCTTGTATCAATCTTTTCAACTGAGTATTTTCGTCCCATGTGTATACGTTTTTCCTTCAAGATATTCTTGAAATGGTTTCACACGCCTCAGCTAATGAAGATATGATAACATTATTTGATTCCTCTGTGTTGTTTTAATGAAAAGTTCATCTGAACCGTGGAAAACGATACACAATGCATGTCATAAATTAAAGATTTCGTGTAAGAACTTGTGACGTAACGACTTATATATGGCCCGAGTGAAAACACTCGGGTTTCCCACGTTAAAAACTGACCTTGTGTCACATCCTGACTCAGTGGGGCGTCAAGTAAATATCTATATGAAATCAAATTTTATCTGACTATTTTCGACATATTTCACAATAAGAACGAAAATAGGTTATGGTGTGTTGTAAAAAGACATAAAACACATTGCCAATTTAGACTGTTTTAGAATAGCTTTTTATATTCATATCACTTGAATCCCAAATATCCTATAATAATTGTATTTGTCCGTTTCTCCCTTAATAAGGTTTGAGCAAGCTAATGGCGAGTTTGGGTAAGAGGTAAGAAACAGATACAAAAATCAGAGAAATGTCTTCCTTAAGTTAAAGACTTTTCGTTTATTGCCTTTCTTAAATTTTCTCATTATCTTTCACTCCCAGTAATCTCTTGCGTCTTAGTAGCACTGTTGCCTTCATTAAAATTATTTAAAAGAGTTGTACACTAGGCACTGTGATCCTAAATAATCATTTTTCTTTATTTTTTTTTTTATGAATATTGAGTTATTCAGATTACGAATATAAAAGATTATTAAATTTTATGAAAGTTAAGTTTTAATGGGTAGTTTGCAATATAAATCTAACCGTTATCTACTGTCTTCATAATTACTCTTCTATTGTTCTCGATCCTTAATAATGTTTCTCTTTTTTCTTGATTATGCGAACATTGTTCGAAAATAATTGTTCGAAAACAATTATTCGAAAAACATTTGTTCGAATTGTAAATTGTTTGAATGAAAATTAATCAAAAGGACAATAATACTAAATGATAATTATTCGAAATGCAAAATTCTTTATTGCAATAAAAAAAAGTAAAAATTAAAAGAGGAAATGAACAAATGATAATTAGTCAAAACATAAATATCGTTAATAAAACAATTTAGTAAGAAAAAATCCTTATAACCATAATTTATGTGATACTGCACGCAAATAGTCAACTACTGAAGACTACACGTTAAAGGATGCCACTAATTTTTTAAGTTTTCCATTCACGCCGCAGTATTTCTTGGCGTTCTTGATATTTTGGCAACCTTACTTTTGCAATATGAAGTCCTGTTGTCTTTTAAGAGCGTCTAAAAATTTCCATATTGTAGGATTATGGGATGAAACTTTCTGCAAAAATGCTCTATGCCATCCTTCAAGGGAGTTATTAGGTTAAGGTAAATCAGCATTGACTCTCTCAAAGCAAGACTACATACATATTTCTAATATAGGTATTTCGAATAATTATCATTTAGTATAATTGTCCTTTCGATTAATTTTCATTCAAATTCGAATAAATATTTTCCAAATAATTGTTTTCAAACACTTATTTTCTAACGATTTTCTCGATAGGGTTTTCTTATTCTTTCACGCTCAGTAACCCCTTGTGTCTTAGTAAAATAAAGTGAGCAACACTGCATGGGGACTGTCAATTTCATGTCTTAATAAATCTTCAAATAACGTGTTATCCTTTTTGGCAGTCACTTTTGTAATATATATACAAACTCCGAAAGTATTGCTTTAAATTTATTTACACGCATTATTATTGCACTCACTGAACCCCATAAACGTTGTAGATAAATATGCAGCCATTTATATAGAGATAGAGTGGAAGAGAGAGAAAGAAAGAAGGAAAGAGTGAGAAAGAGAAAGGGGTTTAAGACGCGCAGACACATAGACATAAACACGCACACTTTGTTGTTAATCACTTTGAACGTGGAAGTATTATTAATGATAACACTAACACCCATAAAAGCAATGATAAAAAAACAAAATTCTTACCACCACCATTTCGATAACAGAGATAAGGAAATCGCCATACATTGGCAAGATCAACAGCGAATCCAATGATTGATAGCAAAAAGTCTATAGTTCCACCCCAAGTTTCCCGTTTTTCATCGCCTTCCACTTTGTGGGGATTTTCCGCATCTTCCGCCTTTTCCGGCTCTTCGACGCCTGATGACCCGCAAAGCACAGTCGTCTTTTCGTGGCATTCATTGCTATCTTCGGGGCATTTGTCCGAGGCCGGAGTCACTACCAAGGTTAACAGTGGTCCATTGATCTGATCTTGGTTTTCCCCAACGCTTTCCGAAGAATTCTGTTTCGTTCGGAGTTCAATATCGTGTCCGTTCATTTGGGTGCTGCTCGCTTCCTCGCCGGCTTTAGTTGCGCAGATAGGCAATGGGATGCTCGTTGTTGGATTGTGTTTGCCCTTTAAAAAGAAAAGATATCGGTAATTTTATTATGAATAATATAATGATAATACATATTTTAGCAAATTTGTAATCTCAAATAGTGTCATATTAGTCGAGTATAATGAGGAACATATGTCACCAGAAGGAAATTAAATGATGTAAAATAAATTAATAAGTACATTAAATGCAAATTATGGCTATATATATATATATATATATATATATATATATATATATATATATATATATATATTAGATTATTAGAAAATAAAAGTAAAAATAAATGAAAGAAAACAGAGAAGAAAAATAACTTATGGGAATTAAGAAAAATTCAGGGATAAAAAATAGATAATAAAAATTCTATAGGCATCTTGGTACATGCATATTGCCCATAGCGAGATACTCCGGACATTTCCTAAACTGCACAAGAGAGAAAATAATATAGCTGGCCCGTCCAGTAGATAAAATGAATATGCATAAAGCATTAAACCCTAAAAATGATGCTTATTGACTATATACGACAGAGTGCTAAAATTTTCTGGGTACGACCTATTGTAACACCGTATCCTTACACCCATTGGTCCGGTATGGTCCAGTATTACAGGTTAGACACAAGTCTCCGGTTCCCAATGTCAATTCGAAGCCACCCTCCAGACACGTTGTAATTGTTTTGATCCTGGAGAGTGGTCATCGGATTGTAGAAATCCAGAAGCTCTCCGTTGGCCCACCTCCGAGTTCGTTGGGTGAGAATCGGGTTAACAGAAAAATAAATATAACCAAGTCGATTCGATTTTGAAAGGAAAAAAGAGATTTTTATATATAAAAGCAAACACACACACACACACACACACACACACACACACACACACACACACACACACACACACACACACACACACACACACAATAATTCTTGTTGCACAAGGTTGAATGCTTCTTGTATGTGAATAATAACCAAACAAACAGAAATACTTCGAATAATTTCGGTAAAGGAAAGATATGGCCTTCGTTTTAACCCTTTTTGGTTTGTTCTTAGTGCAACTACTACAATCTTCGATGTTACCATTCTCAGTAGTAGTAATAGTAGTAGTAGTATTAGCAAGAGCAGTGGTACTTAGATGTTAGCTACGGTATTTCGCTTCTTCCCCCTTCAACTTCAGCAACACACTGCGGACGCTTCCCTTCCTTTTCAATCTCTGACGTCTCTCCACTCAGTTCGATTGCATTCGAAGATAGACGAACCCCAAAACTCTTTATCCTCAGGTTGGCTCGCCTTTTTATTAAGAGAACTGGCCTAACGTTTCTCAAACTGGTGATGTATCTGTTTTCTAGTGTGAACGTACGGACATACTACCAAAGTACAACTTCACTCCTCCGAGAATAAACAAGTTACTTTTTCATCGATTGGTTTCCAAGGTTAACAACAAGTCGCTATTGTTTATCACTTCGTTATTAATCATTCTGCTGCTCTTTGTAAACTACAGAGATTATTGTTTTAAAAATAAATTCTAGATCAAAACATCCTTGATTTTAACTTTGATTCTTATAGTGTCAAAATTCATTTCTTTTTTAAAAGTTCCAAATTATTATCGTTCCAGTAATTTACTATTAGTAATCTGATATCCTTTGTACACTTAAAAAAAGCTTGTATTTCGTGTTCTAAATTAACTTTCTCTAACATTTACATTTCAAAGTCCTTACAGCATATTAACATCTTGGTTATTCGAAAACGCTTCTCATTCACTTGTCCTCCTTCATTATCATTATTATTATTTCAGGGGTGATATCGCCCCTGCCACACTATGCTCCAAATCTAACCAAATGACCAAATATCAGAATTTTAAAAATCTCTTCTTGGTCGAGCTATGAAATTTTTTTAGCACCTCCTCATAGAAATACAAAATAAACAGTGAGTAAGCCCAACAGTATAGATAACTGTGGTAATATAACGGTAAAAAATTAACTAAAAGTATACAACGGAGAGAAGAAATCATTTTTATAACGGAACATGGCAAAAAATAAGTAAGTTTATGTAAAAAAAAAAAGTAATAGACCAAAAAAAGTAAAAGACCAAAAAAAAAAGTAAACTGAATAATGATAAGTTGAAAAGATAAAGATAAAAAAGAATTTAGAAAAAGGATGGACTATATCTAGCTACGCAGAGGACATTTGAAAAGGGGAACAAAATGGAAGCATTATGAATAGCAGCTCGAAGCAAAAATATTGATTGACAGATATCATGCGATTTTTAAATAAAAATGCCAATGCAAAAAAGAAAAAAAATCAACAAAATCGAAAAAGTTATAAAAAAAGAAAAGAAAAAACAGTAAACATAATCCTCAGTAAACTGGTCCCGGGAGAGTTGAACATCACATAGAACATGACAGAATGATTTACTGGAAAATGTACAATGTGAGTTTAAACACATTTTGTAGAAAATATGAAATGTGAGTTTAAACAAATAGTATTTTTTGAATCTACATTCTACATTCAACATCCAACGCCATCGCTTGATAAGACACCAGAAGTGTTGAAACAAAATGACTATTTTTGTAGTGATTTTATAACATATTTATGTTATAATTTCCGAATAAATTATATTTGCTCTACTCTGTATTGAGCACTCTTTTAAGAATAGTAGTTTTTGGTTATTGGAATTTATTCTGCATACACCAATCCTATATTATATATATATATATATATATATATATATATATATATATATATATATATATCGTCGCCGACTCTCCCGTCAATTTTGACGTATGAGGGCCAAGCAGATCTGTTTCCAGGAAACCGACAGCCCGACAACGACACATGAGATTTGATTATAGTGGTAAAGGCTTCGTGCAGGACCATCCACGCTTTTTGAAGGGACGAATACAGAGACCTGGTGCACTAAGTGCCACAAGGTTCCCAAACGACCCTCCGCGGGTTTTGAATTCAGAGTTGTCCTTCTTCTAGACCAGTTACTATCCAAGGCGATAGAACACAGTCTGACCTGCTATTTTACCCATAGCTGGAGGGAGAAGAGGATTCATACCTTTCCAAAGGGTATTAGCACTTACGTGCTAATATATATATATATATATATATATATATATATATATATATATAATGAAAAGGACAATTATTTAATATATTTTGTATTTGTACGTTATTTTTATAGATACAATTTATTTAAGATTAGATTTTTAATTAATTAACCTGCCTGAATTTTCGTGAAATCTCTTAGAAAATATGCATTCATATACGGAAACCGTCATTTGATCTGACGTGCTATACTATTTGGCTACAGAGAAGCGTTTGATTAACAAAGTCCAAATTACTGTTTTTAAACACAACATATAAACAGAAAATATATTATATATATTTAAAGCACGTTTTCAAAATACATGAGTATTTTATTTAATATAATAAGTTCATAATAACTATATTTTATCTAATTATTTTATAATTAAGAACAAATGCTACAATGAAAAAATGAAATTTATGCGTCTCGTAATATCTCGTCTAGTTCTTATTTTAGCAATATCCAGTTACTGCTGTCACATTTCCATTGAGTTCAGTTACACACTGCTCGGTCCAAGGATTAAACTCACTAAACTTTCTATGTCACCAAATTTATGAACCAACCATTTAATCCATAAGTCGGGGGACAATTCTTGGATTCTTAAACCTAACCTAGTCTAGTGTATTAATGTGTTGGTTCGATAATTTGCTGACATAGTAATTGTGAGTTCAATCCCTTTCTGATAGTTAACCATTTTGTCTGATTTTTGGAAGTGGGTGGGCCCGAGGACTTTTCTGTGTGGGTCGAAGAGCAAGTTAACTACCTTTATAATTTTTTAAATCGATAAAAATAAACAGTTATTTTGTATGTTATTGCTTTATTATTTGGTTTTACTAAATTCAATTCAAATTGCTTGCCTCGCTTGAAATTGCTTAAGGAATTTGAACCTTTGCTGGGGATGCAATTTTGACTTTTCAGTTTATTGAGATTTGAACCGTTGACTTTGCCCTTGCGCTATTTTTGTCCTGGTAAAGACGATACGTATCAGGTTTCATTAGCACGTGAATATTAACGCTATATGTAGAACAAAATAATTTGAAAATGTAAATTTATCTTCGGTCTTATCGTGAGAAATGATTCGTTTTGCGTTGGAACTCTTTGATATTCGAAAGACAGGCCTCCTCTTCACTTTCATATCACACTCATTCCTCCAGGGATATAGTAGGGGACCATTAACATGCACACAAACACGTTATGTTACTTCTGCTAAGGGCATCAGTAATGCTAAAGACGTTTTTTTTTTTGTTTTTTTGGCAGTTTAGAGTTTGACCCACATACGCTTAACATATACAAAGTCACAGGCTCTCTGACACTGAAACCCAAAGTTAAAGTTTCTAAGACACATAAACAAAGTAGCGTACAACTTCAACACAGGGGATTTTAGCATCGTTTTAAGTACATATGTGCGCACGCACACATGTGTGGGTCTGTTTAGATAACCATAAATGGGAATTAAAAAACGTATCCACACATTCGTATACGTATGATTGCACAAACATTCGCGCACAATTACATAAATATATACATACATATATATATGAGCGGTTATCGGCGCAGGAAATAGAATCGGCGGACCGAGTTCAAATTCCGTTTGAGGCTTTTGTGATCAGTTCCCACTAATAACGTTGAAGAAGGTATAAATCTCATTTTTTTGTTAACCTCATAGCTAATAGTAAATAGCAAACTAGTGTGGGTTTTGCAACCGGGGTTGGTAATCCTGTCCTGAAGACGGAAAACTCAATACCCTCTGCCAACACGTCATGGGTCAGCCTGACAGAGAGAAGGCCCATTACTCCCCATGTCTGATAGAGCTAGGGGATTACAGAGATTGCAGGAATAGGGAGACTTACAGAATTGCACATATATATATATATATATATATATATATATATATATATATATATATATATAAGGCGTATCAAAAATACTTTTACAAACATTGGGGGCGGATTCCTCACACCAAAACAAGGACAAACGTCCATATAATCATAAGTCCGCAAATCCCTTTTTCTTTTTTGAGTTATTAAGTTTAAAGAATCTTACGCTAGAGGGCGCTGTGTTGTCATGCAAACGAGGTTACATTTTTTCATTTATGTACATTGCGGTTAATCTGTCTTCAACGTTTAATGTGTGTACTAGTGAGTTAACTGAGAAGTGTTCCGTTTAGCAATGGCAGGATATTCATATCGAGAGCAGGCAGATATGATCTTTACATGCAGCCACGCGAATGGTAATGGACGCGAGGCTGTGCGGCTGTATCAGTTTGCGTTTCCAGACCGAAGGCAGCCGAGTCATTTAAGCTTTGCTGCTGTTTATCGTCGCGTTGCTGAGACAAGACCCGTGAAAAACCGAGATCCGTTCGTACGCCTGACCATGAAGAACGCATTCTACAGTTTTCCCCGTCAAGTGGCTCTATCATGTCGTACATCTCATAGTACCGTATATAGGGTACTTCAAGAGCAACTCCTGTATTCGTATCATTTGCAACGTGTGCGGGATCTTACGCCCTCTGATCACTAACCACGGGAGAACTTTTGCCGATGGTTAACTGCGGGTAGGTGTGTGCATGCACGCTTCTGTTGTGTATGCGTTCATACGTGCGCGTACATAGACGCATGCATAAACACAAACCAGCAAAAAGACACAATTAATTGGCCACTAACAAAAAACTGTTCTTTCACACAACTAAACACAAGTTTCAAAAACTAAGTAAAGTTAAATAATACAACCCACTAATAAGAAATACATATACTGCTAACACAAACACACACCCAAACACAAACACGCACACACAAAGATGCACATACTCGACCACACAAGCATATACGTGTGTGTGTGTGTGTGTGTGTGTGTGTGTGTGTGTGTGTGTGTGTGTGTGTGTTTATACGTGCAGGTACATAAGCACACACATAAACACGTACATGCACAAACATACATAGACACACAAAATTCCAACCATAACCTATATGCAATAGTCAACAATAAACCAGAAGCCAACGAAGAAGTTGAGAAAAGAATAAAGGAGAAAAAATAAAAGCGGCAAAGTAAAAAAGGGGGAAGGAAGAGGAATCAGCAATCAATTAAAACCCATCAAAGTGAAAGGAAATAAATAACACACTCATACCAATAAAAGCACAAGAGAATCGAGAAATGACAGCAGATTAAATCTGTTACGACGAGTGTTTATACCTATATAGCCACGAAACCCCGAAATGAAAATGAGTTAAGTGAAAAAAAACACTTTTCATATTAATTCTATTAAGCCTCTATATCTACTTTCGATATTGAGCACTCTACAACAAACCTGCTTACCTCATCAGCAAACCACTGAAAAATCAGCAATTTTGGCTTCAAAAACACTATTTCAAATTAACACTAAAAGCACATTTATATATTAATTTAACAAAATGTGTAGGGCAAAGTATGTAAAAGTGAAATATATTAGAGTTTTCATTTGTGCTTTGAAAATACCCATCTAGTGAAAGCTTAACTCTATAATTTCAACACAGGACTGGTTTTCGTACATTCAATTTTTAAATATATATATTTATATTTAATATAACGTAAATTTCGTTAGATGTTTCCCTTCAGGCTACTGTTTATAACTGAATGCACTTACAGAGATATATTTTATGTATGTATGAATATATTTTAATAGATCAAAGATATTTTTTAATAAAATTCCTTACTGAAGGCTGACTCACTTTCGGCGTGGCAGAATGCTGAAAGTATAGGGCATCCAGTGAGGATCGAACTCACTATTCAGACGTAAATTGATCTAGCAAGTTTCCTAACCATTACACCACAAAGCAGTACCCAAAACGATATTGTAAGCCTAGCTTAGATGCGGCAGAAGTCAGACAGTACAGGGAACCCGGTGGGGATCGAACACACTATTCAGTCATAACTGAATTAGCAAGACAAGCTTGCTAATTATTACACCACGTAGAAGTGTCCGTAAATGATTTTTAAGCGTAGCTTAGATGTCGCAAAAGACCGAAAAGTGTGGAAAGAAGTCACTACTCAGTCGTAATTGATCTAGCAAGACAAGCATGCTAGCCATTACACCACGTCGAAGTGCCCCTTGCCAGCGTGCGCGAGTTTGTGTGAAAATCAATATCGCCTACAAAGTAGGCATCTCGCCATTGGCTAAGTATGAAGTCGATTGGATGCCCAAATCCACCCCTAGCCAAATTTGTGACGTTTGGATATACATACAGCAAGCAAAAATCCCTTCTTGGGCGTCCCTCCTCTTGTGGTCTAAGTGTAATGATTATTAAGTATCCTGTAATTTTACCACTGAAACCACCAAACTAGGCCAAACTTAATAAATATTTGTAAGAATCATAATCACAGAAATAAGAAAAATAAAGGGTTAGCTACAATGAAAAACAAATCTGTTTATTTTATTAAAGACAAAGAAGCAATGAATCTGGCATTCTTTGACCAAATAGCTATCGATGGACCAAAGGTTTATATCTCTTTACAAAAAGGATTCTGATGCTACAGTCGTATGGCGCAATTAATTCCTACTTAGATTGTCTCATAAAGACTGCTTCACTGATTAATCCAGTCGTTGAACCTGGGACAGGAAGAATCGTCTGAAAAACCATTCATTCGATGTTATAATAACAACAACTGATTCATGACTTTTTGGTCTCTTTTGGTATCTTAATATCTATAGCTACTGAAACTGTTTCATTTTGTTAGTAACAGGCTAATATATATTTCTTTATATACTGTTGTGATTAATATTTTGCGGAAGATCGTGTAGCAACATTTTCTTAGAAAATGATCTACATCGTCGAATATTTGGGATTTGTATCCAGAAAATTGCAAGGAAGAAGATAACTGAATTGACAATTGGGATTTAAAAAACGGCTGGAGGCAGAATCGGAGTTAAATTAAGTAAGTAAACAAAGCTTTATAAGGTAAGCGACCAAAGCTTCATAAAGTAAGTAAACAAAGCTTCATAAAGTAAGTAAAGCTTCATAAAGCAAGTGAACAAAGCTTCATAAAGTAACCGAATAAAGCTTCATAAAGTAAGCAAAGCCTCATAAAGTAAGCAAACAAAGCTTTATAAAACGAACAAGCTTTATGAAATAACAGAATAAAGCTTTATAAATCAAGTAAACAAGGCTTTATAAAGTAAACAAAGCTTCATAAAGTAAGCGAATAAAGCTTCATAAAATAAGCAATGAAAGCTTCACACAGTAAACAAAGCTTCATAAAGTAAGCAAACAAAACCTCATAAAGTAAACGAATAAACCTTTATAAATTAAACGAACAAAGCTTTATAAAGTAAGCAAAGTTTCATAAAGTAAGCAAAACTTCATAAAGTAAGCGAACAACGCTTCATAAAGTAAGTAAACAAAGCTTAATAAAGTAAGCGAACAAGGCTTTATAAAGTCAGCAAAGCTTCATAAAGGAAGGAAGGCTTCATAAAGTAAGCGAACAAAGCTTTATAAAGTAAGCAAATAAAGCTTTATAAAGTAAGCGTAAATAGAAAATTATTGTAATTACTCCTACAGGAAAAACATTGATCTAAGGATCCAGTTACGCAGAAGATGCGAGCAATTTGAATCTAATTTTCAGTCGAACACATGATACTGTTACTGAAAGCAGGATACCTAAGCGTTCATTAGCAACCTAGTCCAAGACTATTTGCCTGTGTAGAGAATTCCATCTTCACCGGGTACTCAACCCATGCGACCTTGTAACAGGCTTGGTTAATCTAAGCTTAGTAAATACCCCCAAAGTTTCCCTAGGCACCTAATATAACCCAATGTTTAGCAAAGGTGTATCGTACATCATTCGCGAGTGCAGTTCGTTTGAGTGCAGTTTCTTATTACTATGACCATGTATCAGTTCTTAATCTTAATGAATATTTGATCATGCCACAGTAGAATAATGGTTAACAAGCGATGTTTACAGACAATTATAATAGTTCTATCCTCAATGATCAATACCAGTGGCCTTATACCAGACAAAGTTAACCTATAAATCTTACTTTAGCCACAGCTGAGCATCTTTCCAGTTCTCCCCACATATCTTATTTGAAAACCGGAAAAGTATTCATTCATGTATAACGTGTCTAGGATAAGTAGATCTGGTTATGTTTATCCCTCTGCAGGTTAAACCACAGTCGAAGTCCATCTACTTCGTCACTTAATTCCATCAAGAGAACCCTCTGCTCTGGCCACTGACTTCAGTCTGGCTGCATACATAGGTAAAGAGCCCAGTTGAACCTGTTGTGCTAAATTAACGTTGACCCAACAAAAAGGTTCATGAGCCCTTTGATAAGTTTTGTTTTTAATCCTGCTAGGTGTCTAGCCACATTTCCTCACTGGAAAAAACCTGGTGGGGGAACCGGTTTAGCTTCTGATAACCCAACCATGCAGCAGGTAATATTGGGTTACATGGTACCAGTAGCACAGGTAGAGTGACCTGACATAAGTCAAGCTTACTAAATCTACCATTTGTCCGTGCATTAAATACTGTCATACCTGGCCAGGTGCTCCACGTTTCGAGATTCTTGACAAAATCCAAAGAAAGATTTATAATGTAATCGATTCTGACCAGGCATCTCGACTTCAATCACTTTCCCACCGACGTGACGCGTCTTCCCTCTGTCTTTTCTACAAATATTTTCATGGCAACTGCTTTTTTTTCCTGGTGACCCGACTACATGAATTTAAGTCTGCTACTAGATTGGCAATTAGGTCTCACCGTTTTACTCTTGAAATAGCTAAATGCAACCACCACTTGTACTCCAACAGTTTCTTTTCTT